ACCCCTACTGGGCATACACATATATAATTCACAGTAAAGACAAAAATGGCTCTTACAGTTATATATACAATACTCATTTTGTGAAAGTTTAGTGTCAAATTATATTTTAAATGATCATTAGTATGGTGGCAATCCTATGCCAATAATAACCGAGTGCACAACTGATGCTTGCACGCGCAGTAAATCACTTCCGTGAGAGAATAACAGATCTACACACAAGGAAACGGGAGCCCGCGAGCTCATTTTAAACCCGCGCGCAAATCAAGCCCTCACGTGCTCGGACATGACTCGCAGCACGCGCGTCATCATTAAAGTGGTCATATGATGCTTTTTTAAAGATCATTATTTTGTGTATTTGGTGTAACAGAATATGTTGACATGCTTTAATGTTCAAAAAACACATTATTTTTCAAATACTGTACATTATTGTAGGTCCTCTATGCCCCGCCTCTCTCAAACGCTTCGTTTTCTACAAAGTCCCTCCTTCCGACGACAAAATTTTTTAATAATATAAAAAAATATCTGTATGACATTATATTCTGCAATTCTTCCCTTTTGTACCGAATATCTATTATTTTCAAATTATCATATCGATGTTAGAAATTCAAATATTGTGACAAAATACATTTTGTAGGGTGCCACAAGTTTGTTAAAATTTCCAAAGGGTGCCACGACAAAAAAAAGGTTGGGAAACGCTGGTCTATGATGCTGACAAATAATGCTGACTCACAACCTGTAAGTACATTTTCATATTTATAGGATTTACCACTGATGATTCAAACGCGAGTTTTGAGCAGTGTAGAGTAGGGCTTGTTGTTTGTCGTTTCTCAGATCACAAATGCAGACATGGTTTTATGTTTACGCGGCGCGATGCAACGTTATAATCAGTAATTATGTCCCCATTGGATGCAACAAATGCCTCGTTTTAATGTTTTTGTCTCGTCGCTCCGGCCGGGACATGACATCACAGTATGGTAAGGAGCGTAACATTTCCGTCACACGCTTGAGGTATTTGGCCAATCACAACACACAGGATAGCTGGCCAATCAAAGCACACCTCGCTTTTCAGACCGATGAACTTTGTAAAAATCGATGCGTTTCAGAAAGGTGGGGAATAGAGGAGAAACAATAATGTACAGTATGTGGAAAATAATGGATTCTTTTTAGCAACATCATATAACCCCTTTAAGCATTTGGGTTAGCTTCAGATACTCTGCAAATGGATCTGGGTGTGATTTGCTATATAATTAGCAGTGACAGGTTTAGCAAGTTGAAATGAGCCTTGTAATATTCTTGCATAATGAGCTTTCTGTGTTCATTGAAGACTGGAACTTAAACCGTTTAGATTTTTTTCTCAAACACAACATTTGACCCAAATGGTGAAGGTCAATTTGATTTCTATTTAATTGAGTACATCGTGACCTGAGGCAGTGTTTCCAAAATCTGTTTTCAACAAATTATGTTCAATTACTTCGAAGTATTACTTGGAAATGTGTTGTAAACTCTGTTTCAGAGAGTTGTCTGTTGTCTGTTTCACACAAACTCTTATATAAATCATTCAGATCTGTTGGTTATAACTCTCTGAGGTTTGTTCTACCCAGCATCCCAGAGCTCCACCTCTGTAGAGTGTTTTAATATTTGTCATTCAAACTGTATAATTTTATCTATAACACGTGATTCAAATAGAATATTTATCCATTTTTCATTCTGTATTTTTGGTGCCTAATTTCACTGAAAAAGCAAGACATGAGAACTTTGCACTCTTTCTTTGCAGAACCTGTCCTCTTGGTCCATATAGGAAAAGTTATTAAGAATGTGACCCGTCATTGGCTTTCATCTGCATCTCTACATTATCCCATTGGATCTCGCGTTTGTTTGCTGCTCTCATCAGACATTTGGATGTCAGAACTGCAAGTGTAAGAGAGTCAAATGCCTATGATAGGAGACAGCAGAAGCCACAGTCAGAAGGGATTGTGAAGGAGTTGACAGTCTTGACTTGAAAGATATGACAGAGCATGCTGAGCTGCTAACAGAGATGGCAACTATCGGCCGTCTCTCAGCCACTGAGCGCCTGAAGCATGCGCAGAAGAGACGGGCACAGCAGCTGAAAGGCTGGGCTCAGATGGAGAAGGACAGTGCCCGTAGTCAAAAGGGCAACCACAAGGGAGATGGGGTGAAGAAAAGCAGAAGGGTGACCTTCAGCACCAGTGTGACGTTACTGGAAGCTGCAGCCAGGAATGACATAGAGGAGGGTAAGAGTAAGAGACTAGCAATATTGCACATCTGTTTCACTAATTGTAATAACTATAGAAATTCCACACACCCCTGTTAAAACGTCAGGTTTTTGAAATGTAAAAAATAATCCAAGATAAATCATGCTAGATATTTATCCACTTTTAATGTGACATTGAAAGCAGTTATAATTTAGTTTTTCATGACAATTGTATACTCGTCTCTTACTCGAAACATAGTTTTTTTGTTACTCTACCTCCAAGACTTTCATGCAAATGCAAATGCAAATGTAAGCACATGCTTACACCGTGTTTGCACATGTTACCTTATGCCTTTTTACTGTGGAAATCAAGAATACATACTTTAACAAAAATAAAAACAATTAGAAAATAAAATCCTATGGGGTTTTTAACAGAGGTTGACTGGTAGGCTAAAAAATGTCAAAATAAATTGTAGTGCCAATAATGTTATAAATTGTCCAAAATGTTAATAGTTTGTAGTTTTGGTGACCTAAGAGCATTTGTGTCTGTTGGCAGTACGAGAGTTGCTCAATAATGGAGTCAGTCCAGACTTGTTCAACGAGGACGGGCTCACTGCACTTCATCAGGTACATGCTCATCAACAAAAACAACACACACACACACACACAGGCTGCAACACAACAAGAACAACAGCTCATTTTATATTGTTTCAACTTGTAAACATAAACATAAATACACAAAATCATAATGTTCAGTCTCTGAAGTGTAGTCCTCAATAGACTTACATGAGATTATTTTTTTAAAAGTCACTGTCTAAATAAAAGTCTTCCAACACTTACCAGTCACACAGAAAAACGACTAAAAAAATGCTGACAAAAAAGGCCAAATGGCGATATATTAGTAGACCACTACACTAGTCAATTAGTTAGTTGTTGGATGACCTTTCAATTAGTTGAACATCTTGTCACATCCCTACTCTCGAATCATGTTCTCCACAGACAGTAGTTCAGATAACCATTGAGTTTCTTTGCAGAGCTGCATAGATGATTTTTTGGATATAGCACGCTGTCTTCTGGACGCGGGCGCAAACGTGAATGCGTGTGACAGTGAACTGTGGACCCCACTACATGCGGCAGCCACCTGTGGGCACACTGACCTCGTCCAGCTGCTGATAGAAGCGTGAGTCTCAATTTATAATTCATTTATTGTGCTGATCTTACTGCTCTGTAATACAAAACTTTTATTCTTGTATAAGTATATACAACCTATATATAAACTTCTATTACTGTATAAATAGTGTGTTCCCTGTGATACAGACTGTCTGAGTTCATGTGTTCAGGGGTGCAGATCTGTTGGCGGTGAATGCAGATGGAAACATGCCGTATGATCTGTGTGAAGACGAGGCTACGCTAGAGCTCATAGAGATGATCATGGCAGAGCAGGGTGAGGGTTGCTTTAATATACCTAATATTGAGCTAAATCGTTGAGCACTCTTATGCTCAGTGTTGAGGAGCATTACTTTTAAAAGATACATTATTTCACTGCTCTTGACAAACAGTAACTCGTTCTTTTATGGACAGTAATTCATACGATTCTTTTGTGTTATATTTGCTTTTAAAGAGCATGTTAGTACAGTAGAGTATTTCTCTAGAGCAGGGCTTCTCACTTTTTCATGTTGCAACCTATCTAAAATCATTGCGATCCCTGAAGAACAACTTTGCATTTGTTTTCTTTTAAAATACCTTTTTTATTGTTATTATTTTGTTTGTTGTTGTTGTCTACTTATCAGTTTCATTGTGTACCAGAAGTTATGGTAAGCTATAAAAACAGAGATGCATTGAGAAGAAATTTTTGAGCTAGTACGAAAACCAATAATTCAGATGTTTCTCTGGCCAACAAAAAAAATATTTTTAATTTGACATTAAACCCTTTAACATTAAGCTACTATCTAATGAATTAAAAATGACTGAATCAGTGAGACTGTATTACAAATGTTAGGTTCATTTTATGAGAAATATATGCTAGAAATATATACAAAATGTATATACAAATAGAAAAAAATTAATATGGTAGCACTTTACAATAAGGTACCATTAGTTAATGTATTAACTAACATGAACAAACAAAGAACAATAGATTTATTACAGTATTTATTAATCTTTGTTAATGTTAGTTAATGAAAATACAGTTGTTCATTGTTAGTTCATGGTAATTCATAGTGCATTAACTATTGTTAACAAGCACAACTTTTGATTTTAATAATGCATTAGTAAATGTTGAAATTAACATTAACTAAGATGAATAAATGCTGTAGAAGTATTGTTCATTGTTAGTTCATGTTAATTAAAGTAGTTAACTAATGTTAACTAATGAACCTTATTGTAAAGTGTTACCAGAAATATATACAAATCTACACAGGAAATGAGTAGTTTGACACAACAAAAGTTGTTTTTGTAATGGGTTACTTATTTGAAAAATGTATCCTTATGGTCCCAATATATTACAGATTTTAAATGAAATCTAAATGTACTGTATAACACATGCTTCTTGCAAGTATAAGAGAACATAACCAGCTAAATGACGACTTTCTATGTCAACTGTTTTAGTAGCAGTTTTAAACCATTTTTATAGATTAGTTGTTGCAGTTTGCAGTACATTTAAACCGTGCTTCTCTAAACAGCTCACACAAGTCTTCAGCTCTGTTAGAAGACAGCACAAACACTTGCTATTATCCATATGTTTGTATTTAGGGATTACCCAGGAGAGAATTGATGAATGTCGCGGAGCCAAGGAGAGAGCAGTATTGTCTGACCTTCAAGAGCTGGTTGCGAGCGGAGCTGATCTGAATGTGAAGGACGAGCAGGGGGCCACTCTGGTAAGACTCAGCAGTGCAGGTAGACAGGACGATCATTTAGAATGTTACAAAAGCTGAAGATCTTGTGTGTTCTCTGTGTAGCTGCATATAGCAGCTGCTAATGGATACGTGTCAGTTGGGGAGCTGTTGCTGGAGCACAGAATATCTCCTAACGACAGGGATGCTGACGGGTGGACGCCGCTTCATGCTGCTGCCTGCTGGGGACAGGTGATTATTGAGACACATGAAGGTTTAGTGCATGAAAACAAAATTGATCACATTTATTTTCTTAAAGGCACAATGTGTAAGTTTTCGCCGCTAGAGGGCGCGTATTTAAAATAAACAAAGAGACAAAGGCGTAGTTTGGTGATGGCGTGACTGAGTGTGGAATCATGGGAGTTGTCGTCTTTATTCCCACAGCCGATGCAATCCGACGAGACTCGGGCAGAAATCATGTTCATGGATGAGCTAATGATTTATTAACATCGTAGTAAGAAGCAGGGTGAGGCTGAAAGCCGTCGAAGCGAAATGAGGCCACTGTACGAGCGTGACACACGGCTCGAAGGCAGCGGAGCTTTTATTATGCCACAGTCGACCGCTTCCGCTCCTTCCGGTCGTGAGTATGTGGGGTAAAGCAGCGCTGTTTTATCATTCTAGATACATTTGAAAGCTCTGTTATAATGCTACTCTGTGCGGTCGCCACCTGTCTAATAAAACGCATAACATATTAAAGCGTCTTTGGTGTTTCCATGTTTTCTACAAAGCAAAAATGGAAATCGAGGGGTTATGACGTCATTGGCAGGCGACAAAATGATACTATAGACACAGTCCATTAAAATTGCTTATTTCTCTGGATTTAAACATTCTTCGAAACATTTGGGATAATGTAAGTACACAAGTCAGCTAAATATATAACACTGTTCTAGTGGTTTTTGGATATTTTAATAAAAAAAATCTTACATATTGTGCCTTTAATGCATGTTACTGGTATTGTTGTACATTTGATTAACTTTGTAATCTTTTATCAAAATATCATAAATATCAAATTGGTCACAACTTCCATTGTTTCATTGAAAGCACAGTTGCATAGGGAGTATTAAGTTATATTGTAGACTGTTTCTTCGTAAAATATTTGAATGATGGTGAAGACCACAGAACAAGCTATAGCAGTAAAAAGTTACAAGGCATGGAAGCAATTTATATGAAGTGCTTTTAGAAAGTTAGTTTCATGTGGCTTGTGTGCTTGAAATACCTTTACTTTACAATTACACTTATTATACAGACTTTGGCCAAACTTATATTTTTGTGCAGCACATTAGCAGCCACCTTCATTGATGGTGTTCCTGAGCTGCTCTTTGACATAAAATGTGTTACATTGATGATGTATGTTGTACAGATGGATATATACATACCTTATACTGTAATGCTAGGTAAAAAACACTCACATAGCTACTTCAGGAGGTGAAAAAAACAAATGCTGTGTAAATTCCTTTGAGTATATATTCGGTTATAACACATTAAATATAAATCTCAGAAATTAACAATTTTTTCCATCCTACTGTTTTTTTTATCTTGGAAAATGGACGAGTATGCCATTAGGGTATGCCCCTTAGAAATAAACACTTCTCGTCCGAATTTTATAGTTTTTTGTTTAATAAAATAGAATGAGAGAAGGAAAAGCTCTTATTAATTATTTATTTATTTGTGTTCTGCCCCACCTTCCTATTTAGTAAGTAATAAATGGTATACTTAGTAATAGTAAACATGTAATGGACTTTAATTCATAAAGTTGGCAAAAACATATTAACTTTAATATCAGAATTAATGTTGATTCTTCAGTGATTGTGTCTTTCTTCACTCTTAGATCCAGATGGTGGAGCTGCTGGTAGCTAATGGTGCAAATTTAAACGCCAAGTCTGAGCTGGATGAGACGCCTCTGGGTATGACACATTCCAAAGGTTTGATCAGGAGTGACTTGACTGGAGGCTTCACAATACTTTGTTATTTTGTAGATGTGTGCACTGATGAGGAGGTGCGGGCCAAAATGATGGAGCTGAAACACAAACACGATGCCATCATGAAGGGTCAGGACAAACACAAAAACACACTGCAGAGACGAGTGTCCAGCACGGGCAGCAGAGGGTGAGTGCTGATGAAGAGATTGCAACGCCACACTTCGCATCTTGTGATTAGTTGTATTAAAAATTAAGTCTAATATATTCTGGTTTAATAAGAAGTTGTTGCTACAGAAAATAATTAATCGTTTTTTGTAATTGTTATGAGGTGTAGTTTGAAGCATGTAATGCATGGCACAAAGCACACATGAAAATATTCCAGAAAATGATTTTCCATTGTTAAAAAGTACTTTTTAATTCTCAGAATTGAAAAAGTATGTATACTGTGCAACAGCACAAACTATGAGGGAAAAAAAATACTTTTTTTTTTTATAAAAGTAAGTGGAGATGGAAAAGATGACGAAAGACTACTATATATGCTGCCATGACTTGACTGCGAATAGCTACAATACAGATCTATTCAGAATGACTATACACACCAGAATACATGAGAAATATAAAAATGTCAAATCTATCGAAACTTAGCAATCTGAAGGTGACCACACGAGTGAACAGTTCCTCTGTCAGTGTGGTTGTTTTATTTGCTTTGAGCATCTGATGCCAATATGTGGGTCAAAGACAAAAAAAGGTTTTTCAAGCATCAAAACAGTAAAAGTTTAATACAGCTTTAAATGTATTTATTTTTTTCCCCCATAGTTTATTATGTGTCCTGTTTAATTTTATTTTTGGGAGGGTTTTTTATGGGACATCTCATCTTTGACCCATGTACATAACACCACTGACCCATCTGTTATGAAACACTCACAAAACTTTTTTTTTTGACAACATTGTGAATATGTTGAAATATGTTTGGTCAAAAATACAATGCTAGAGATCAGTGCTTTGCTCACTTGCAGTAACGTTTACACTGGGCTGCTGTAATTGACATTTTTTTCTGGGTGGATAATTGTGTTAATCATGGTAATTGTGATCTTAATATACAATTAACTGTGTTAATATCAAATAACCCTCTTCTTTGTGTGGTTTGTGTTTACAGTAAAGTAGTGAGGCGCACCAGTGTGAATGAGCGCAGCAGTCTGTATCGCAGAGAGCATCAGAAGGAAGCCAAAGTGTGGCAGGAGAGAGGAAGACAGACAGATGCCCTGGATGATGATGAAGACAGACAGACTGATGCTGAACTGAACCTGCATGCTGCATTGGTGAGAAATTCCATTCAGTGTTTGAAACCTTCTGAAATATGACAGATTGGAAATACAAATTACATATTTTCCCTTTTTAAAAATCTTGCATTAAAGCTGTGGTGTGTATGTTCTGCACCACCAGTGACACCAAGCAGCAGAATAATAATAGTAATAATAATACGTTTCATTTTATAAAACAACTTTATAGCAAATATCTCAAGGTGCTTACACACAAAACAGAGGAACATTAAAACAAACGTAACCATGCATATAAAAAGATTAAAAGCAAGTAAAGGCTATCCTAAAAAAATTGGTCTTAAGAAAAGATTTAAATAAATGAATAAACTCAGCTTTTCTATTATGAGTAGGGATATTATAGTAAAAAAAAAAGTGATGGAAGGGTTTATTGTGTTTGTTCTGCTCTTTTTCTTCCTTGTATTTCTGCCCTAAAAATGTGAGCCTCGGAACTTGGAACTCTCCCATATTATGCCACCCAAAACTCGCATACGTAGACACATCTACCCAACACTAGGTGGCTCTATAATAATTACATTTATTTTTGCTAACAACTCCAAATCCTTCTACGGACTAGAATTTTTTTTTTTTTTTTGGTATCCCATTGATAGATATCCCATGATCATATATATCCATTTCTTAATTTGGTAACACTTTACTTGAAGGGGTGTGCATAAGACTGACATGACACGTCATGAATATGAAGGCTTTTATGCATGTTTATGACAACTGTCATTAAGTGTCATTCGTTCAGTTATGTCATTTTTAATGCAAATATGACATTATTTGACCTAACCCTAACCTAACCCTACCCCTACCCTTACCCCTAACCATAGACCATAACAAAGACATCTCAAACAATGTCATCTTTGCATTAAAAATTACATAACTGAGCGAATGACACTTAATGACAGTTGTCATAAACATGCATAAAAGCCTTCATATTCATGACATGTGCCATGTCTTGATTATGTAGGTGTCATGTCATGATTATGAAGGTGTCATGTCAGTCTTATGCACACCCCTTCAAGTAAAGTGTAACCTTTAATTTTTATTAACTTGAATTTATCTTTGGCTGTTTGCCTGATTTACATGAGGGTTGTTTTGTATTATGTAGACATGCTTCCAACAAAAGCTTATCAAAAGAGTTTTGATTCATTTCAAGGAGACATATTATGCCCCTTTTTACAATATGTAATATAAGTCTCTGGTGTCCCCAGAATGTGTCTGTGAAGTTTCAGCTCAAAATACTCCACAGATCATTTATAATATCATTTTGAAAATGCCTATTTCGAGTGGAAGCAGAAACACGCTGTTTTTTGGGCCTGTCTCTTTAAATGCAAATGAGCTGCTGCTCCCCGCCCCCTTTTCCAGAATAGAGCTGCCTCCATTACAGCTCGTTCCTGCTAAAAACATCTGTTTTGGTTCTGATTATCATGTTTATCATGCTGAAACATATGAGTTTAAACTTCTGATATACGGTTTTCTGAGTGCACACATCCGAAGCACACGGACAGAAAGCGGCTTTCACAGCATGCGAGTACTAAACTAAGTTCTCATTCACACACAAGTTTGTTAAAAACACACGAGTTACAAAAACAGTCGGTTATGTCTGTGAATGTTTATTTTAGATCTGTGTGGCAGCAGCAATATACATTAAATAAATCAATAAATCCATGAGTCCCAATGAGGTTGGGACTCTATAAACAGTGTTCTGTGCTCATCTGTGCAGCCAAAGACAGAACAGTTAGCTTGTTTTGCTCAAACTTTCGCCATGGCATTAGAGCTGGTACACCGTTGTTGCTTGCGAAATCAAAATGACGGCGCCGTGGGTGTAAACTTACAGATTAAGGGGCTGTAATATTATAATGAGATCCCTTTGCCACGTCACCAATTTAATTAGTTGGTATGGTCATTAAAGTTTCAAAGTATTGATTCAGTTGTTCAATACATGGAGAGAAAAAAACTGACACTGAGCACTTTACTTGACAAAACTTTCAGCAATCTTTACAACTTTTATAGATATATATATATATATATATATATAAAAGTTTTATAGATATATATATATAAAAGTATACTGAGCACAAAAAAGCACATTTGAATTGCACTGATCAAAATAAAATTGCATGTCGTTAACAGTTCTGCTGCAATCTTACAACTAGCACACTTGATCTAGTTCTTCATTCACATCTGGTTGCACCAGTTGATCATAATTACTGCTTTCAACACCCTCGTATCCCAGCATCTGTCTCTTTGTTTATTGCCTTTGAGATTGAACTTAAGCTCATTTTAATGTAAAAAAATAATTAGTTTATGTTTATAATTTGTTATTTGTTTATAATGTTTTTTCTTCGAACCTTCTCATGAACATAAAATCAGCATTGCTTTTTGTTTTTTTTCTCTCACATTTTTATTTTTGTTCATCACACTGTGTTGCACTGCATTAATTAGATACAATAAAACCAAAATGAAAAATTAATTTAAATACTTTTCGGTCTGAATACCTTCTGGCAATTGGGTGTAGAAAATCACAAATTCAAACAATTAAAAAAAAAAATAGTTTTGTTTTAAAACGGAAAATAAGAATTCAAGCTGATTTTTTTTAGTTTTTTGCTTGTTCGTCTAAAAAAAATATGACTTTACAGCTCTAATATTTTACTTGCATATTGGACAGCGAATTAGTAGCTGGATTATGACTTCTTTAATCATTTACAGGGCTAAGATATATTCCAAAATGTCATTTGTAGCATTCAGTTAGACTAATTATTGTAATCAGAATACTCCTGGATTATATCTAACACTGTCTTATATCTGAAACGCTCCTCAGATCACATCATTTTAATTATTTAATGAAGCAGCTGTTGATTATCAAAGATTACAGAAGAACATAATGCACTTTTATAGTTTAATAAAAGCAAATAACTTTGCATAATACACATTTCAAATTGTAAAATGTACATTTCACGCATTCTGTTACTCTCCAGTCCACTAGCAAATGTGAGCCCAAATATTAGTGCATGTTGCCCATAATGGCTAATTAGCTTATATCTTATGAACACAATGTCCAAACTTCACTAGGACATTCTGAGGAATGTCAAATTTCATAAATTTCCATTGCTAGAGAGTGGTATAACTAAAGAAAAACCCTATGCGAACAGTGTGTTGGGAGAAATACAACCAAAAATGCAAATTTAACCAGAAATACAACTGTACAGTATACACTGGATCAAAAGCATCTTTTTTAATTTACACGGTCAGTTTTTGTAATATTTTCCATTTTCCAACTGCTGAAAATTGCTGCTTATGGCTATATTGAGTTAAATGATTTTGCGAAGAGTACAATGATCATGTAAAGCCCAAACTGATCTTTTTTTGTTGAGAGCGTCAGTCATGTGTTTGTGTCTTATATATACAGATGTGACCATCCTTGGTGAATTTTCTTGTACTTGTCCCTCCTTTGGTTTAGGTGTCCGGCTCTAATGCAATCCCTGTTCCTCCATTAGAGGTCGGCGAGGTGGAAAATGGAGCTCAAGTTTTGGGGAATGGCAGCACAGCTTTATTTTCTTCCTCACTTCCAGGAGAACTCCAAGGAGGGGGTCTCATGGATCGCAGCGCCTCCTATCAGCTCACTCCAGCTTCAGCTGCTGCTGCTGGCGGGGACGACATGAGCAGAGAAAGATCTCACCACACGCTCGCAGATCTCAAACGACAGAGAGCAGCAGCTAAACTGCAGAAACATCCAGCACCTGCTTTACCTCTGTCAGCAGACCCTCAAGATGAGGTCATTCCTGAAGGACCCCAGGGGCCGCTGGAGCCCCCTGAATCAGTACAACAGGATGTGTCCCCCAGTGAGGTGTACTTTACCCAAGCTAGTGGAGATCCACCTCTACTGAAGCTGAGAGCACCAGAAGAGGACACAACTAATACGAAAGAGCCATGCTGTGGACTCATGTAGAAGCAGCGGACGAACATGTTTGGTTTCATATGATTGTGCAGTTCTTGTGTACGACGTGGACAAACTAGAATTATAAGGCAGGTACGTGGAAATGAGTTTTATGTCCAAGTCACACTTTCTCTCACAATGGCACATAGACTGAGTGAGCTGACGTTTTCAACACTAATATGAATAATAGCACCAGAATTTTGATGGGTTTACATACCTTTCTGAATGTATAACACAAGAAATCAGAAAAAAAGAAGACCGCCTACATTTAGATAATTTCATGGATTAATTGCATTATTGCAGTATTTCAATCTTTTAAGCTCATCATTTTATTTTAATTAGTTGGTATGGTCATTAAAGTTTCAAAGTATTGATTCAGTTGTTCAATACATGGAGAGAAAAAAACTGACACTGAGCACTTTACTTGACAAAACTTTCAGCAATCTTTACAACTTTTATAGATATATATATATATATATATATATAAAAGTTTTATAGATATATATATATAAAAGTATACTGAGCACAAAAAAGCACATTTGAATTGCACTGATCAAAATAAAATTGCATGTCGTTAACAGTTCTGCTGCAATCTTACAACTAGCACACTTGATCTAGTTCTTCATTCACATCTGGTTGCACCAGTTGATCATAATTACTGCTTTCAACACCCTCGTATCCCAGCATCTGTCTCTTTGTTTATTGCCTTTGAGATTGAACTTAAGCTCATTTTAATGTAAAAAAATAATTAGTTTATGTTTATAATTTGTTATTTGTTTATAATGTTTTTTCTTCGAACCTTCTCATGAACATAAAATCAGCATTGCTTTTTGTTTTTTTTCTCTCACATTTTTATTTTTGTTCATCACACTTTGTTGCACTGCATTAATTAGATACAATAAAACCAAAATGAAAAATTAATTTAAATACTTTTTGGTCTGAATACGTTCTGGCAATTGGGTGTAGAAAATCACAAATTCAAACAATAAAAAAAAAAATTGTTTTGTTTTAAAACGGAAAATAAGAATTCAAGCTGATTTTTTTAGTTTTTTGCTTGTTCGTCTAAAAAAAATATGACTTTACAGCTCTAATATTTTACTTGCATATTGGACAGCGAATTAGTAGCTGGATTATGACTTCTTTAATCATTTACAGGGCTAAGATATATTCCAAAATGTCATTTGTAGCATTCAGTTAGACTAATTATTGTAATCAGAATACTCCTGGATTATATCTAACACTGTCTTATATCTGAAACGCTCCTCAGATCACATCATTTTAATTATTTAATGAAGCAGCTGTTGATTATCAAAGATTACAGAAGAACATAATGCACTTTTATAGTTTAATAAAAGCAAATAACTTTGCATAATACACATTTCAAATTGTAAAATGTACATTTCACGCATTCTGTTACTCTCCAGTCCACGTAAAGTTCATGTTCACTTCATTTTCATTCATTTTTTGAAACTAATTTTTAATTATTTTTTTTTACCAATGGACCAGAAAGAAAAAGAATCCAGCTGAATTTTCTTTTTTTTAATTCTAATTTTTCCAATAAAATGGACAAAGTATGCAGACCACAAAACTTTTATTTGTTTGGATTTAGTGTATTTTCGATTGGAACAAAGTGTGATGAAAAAGTATGAGATAATATTTTTTGTTTCATGATGGTCGAAAATGTGATGAATGGTTTATACATTTTTCCATTTTGAAGACAAAAACAAATGATCTGAAGATACACATAGCAACTGACTAAATTGCTGCCAGGATCCAATTCAAACCTTACACCATTGCTCCATTATTCCGTCTATTCCTTTTTCCTTTTTTAACCATGACAAGTAAAAAAAATTATTTCCAAAGGACAGATATGCATCTTTATTTTATAGATTTTGAGATTGTGTAGAATTTTTTTTAGAAATGGTCAGATAAATAAATATATGAATACATTTTAATGCTTTTATTTATATAAATAAAAAAAAATAAAAAAAAAAAATATATATATATATATATATATATATATATAAAAATAAAATAAAATATTGTTGCTCCTGCTACAGAAACATCTAATTAATTGCAAAGAAATATATGCGTAATTAATGTATTATACATGATTTCAGGCATGCAAAATAATCAAGATATTTTGAGAAACTATAGCAGCCTAAAATAAAAATATAAATGCCTTATGAGTCAGTGTATTGACGCCAAACGTTTCTCGATTAAAGCAGTAGGCTACAGTTCACCTGTACTGACCCTTTTTTTTTTTGCACTTGTATATTAACTGTAAAGCATGCTAGAATTTAAAGTATTTATAATTTCTATGATTTTCAAAAATGAGCTTGTATCTGCATTAAAGCTCTTCTGTATTTCATTTCTTGTTTATAAAAAGGAAAAATGAATGGACACAAAAGTACAAGGACCACAGGATGCTAACAGTTTATTTTAAGTTATGGTGTAAGTCACTGGTTAAGCTATTTAGTTAGTTTTATATTTTTTTCTTATGATCGTGCAGGTTGTGCTCAATATTCAGTGAGATTTAAATCGAATGAGTGATGGAAACACAATTTTTGTAATGATTGGCAGAAATCGATGGATGACTTTCAAAAATATCTTAAGCTTTATCACTTTGAGGCTTAGGTTTAATACTGTAGTGTTGCTTTATTTACAAGAAGATTAACTTAATTCTAATATTTTTGTGTAAATAATTTAGCAACATCCACTCGTTGTCTTACATGCATATGCATAACTTTACCCACTGGAGTCTCTTTTTGTTTCAAATGGTCTGTATAAATGCTTTTATTGATCTTTTTTTATGATTGATTTAATGAACTTTGTAAACAGTTTGTGTGATGTTGTTCTAGATATGTTAGGATGTGTAGACTCAATGAAAAGCAGATGCTAAATGACATTATTGATATTACATGAGCTTTATGAATTTCAAACATTTCACATTTATCAAATATCCTGATCATTTGGGAATTTCCTATAAGCGACTTTATATTCTAGAAAACGGTATGAAATTGATATTCCAGAATGTGACAGTAGCATGACACTACAGAAACTGAGCTGAGTAATTTCTAGGTGCAATGGCCCATTTGGATGCTTAAATCTATATTTAGTATAAATTGATAAACACTTTTTCAGGGTTATTTATTTGAGCATTTTTTGTATATTTGAATTTGAAATATCACTGTGTGTAATCTGAACTCTACCATGAAACACGTGCAAATATTTCATCTTGACCTGCAGTGTTTACTACTGGACAGCACTTTTCACATTGCGAAATGCCTTAAATGTAAAATTCCTTGTTTTTTGGACATCCGTTTTGTACATTTCTATCTATGTCATCTACTTCCTCTGTTAAATGTAACACTGATGTCTGTAAATATATTGAGAGATTAACCAGGTTTGAATAAAATGCACTTGCATACTGAAATTGTCATAATTCAGTTCTTTAGAAATGATTCCTCTCCAGCCTGAACATGATGAAATTTGTCAGCTTGTCAAATTTCTGCATATTTGTTTTATCAAAAAAAAAAAAGAGGTAGAAGTCGTAAACCTTCAAACTAGAAGATTTGTCTTTATCAGATCCTGTGAAACTGTACCAACATTACTGAACCGTTCCAAGTGTTCTTGTACAAAGTTGATGGTGTGGTGATATTGCTTATATAACTGAATTCTTTAGCTGAGACAAATCCTTCCTGAGTGCTGGAGGTCAGTGGCTTGACTCATTGGCCGGCCAACACAATGTTTCTAAACATCCTTTCAGGAGTGACGTTGGTGGATGTTTATCAGGTAAACTTCTCGGCTACTAGTATGTTAATACTGAGTGTGAGGATCTTGTTCTTTCAGTTACACCCCCAGCAACAGTGAGTCGATTCCTTTGTGGCAGACAGATCCAGCAAAGTCGTGTCAAAGCATTTTACTGACTACAAACGTGCACACTTGATTTGTGTGTCATCTTGTAAACATCATGATTGCAGGTGAATTTGTTGTGTCCCCATATGAAATACTATGATATATCTATTAAAACATTCCCACAATAGAGCACTTCAGGGATTATGTATTTTTGTAGGCTAGCCCAGAACGCATCACCCTGGTTCCCTCGACAAAAAAACAATGGATTTTTTTCCATTGGCTTTTGGATTATTGTACAAAATAAGTTCTGTGACCAACAGAGGTTCATGATTCTTACAGGTTTTTGTTCATCATGTGAACACAGTGAACACAACCTTTATAAGTTTTAAAGCCTAATTACAGTCAGCACCTACACCACATCACATTACTTCAATGTCACAAACATAAAGCTTCCGACAACACTTTTCGGTCCTTATTTAAAAACATTTTCCCTGAAAGTTTGTCTAAGAGCATGATTACACAATGAGGCTGTAAAAGCAGACTAGTTGAGTAGATGAGTTTTCCTGTTTGGTGTGATGCCATTTAATGCCACTTGTTAGCAAACGTCACACATCCAGGACCAAGTCAGCGGAAAATGGATAGATGGGATGGATGCTTTGTCCATGGACATGGATTGCTGTGTTCATGTTTTCTCTCTCACTTTTACTATCTCTGGATGATTGGCTAATTGAATTCTCCTCCCCTTATTCAGGAGACCGTCCCACTAATTATCATAAGTCTTCAGTGATTGGCTCATCAGTAACGGTCAATAAATGAAGAGCTGAGTGGGACTAAAGAAAGGTGTCTTTTTCCACATACTTAAAATAGTTTATTGAAAACAATGCAAGAAATGTTCAAGTCTTTATTTAAGCTTAACTTGCAAGTGTCCTGTCAACATTCCCAGTGTTTTTTTGTTTTTTTTTCTAAGATTAAAAAAAGAATTACATTGCATCTCGCCTCTGAGAAAAAGAACAGAAATTAGTTGTTTTCAACATTTCACTCACGCATGCTGAGTAGAATCTATTTTATATGGCATTGGCAATTGAGAGGACAAAATCAATGATGTGTCTACCTCTCCTTCATTCAGTTAGTTTTAAGCTTCAGGTGAGCCATTACAATATTTACACACAGTCTCACGCCCCGGAAGACATTTCTCCAGGAATCCTTAAGTTTTTATGGCAGTTGTTATACACAAATATACAATAAAACATTGCTACTCTTGAAGTTTTATAACTACATATATTGATACACAGTAGATACTTGTATTTGTGAAATTTGACAAATTATGACAAAAGTTGTGTCTAGTACATTTGTTTTTTGTGTTACAAATACATTTAGACCTTTGCATACAGACAATAATACATCAAATAAACATTGTTCTGCTCTGTTGCTGTTGGCATGAATTTCGTCGTTCACAGCCGACACATTCTGAGAAATTCTCTTCTGAAACATCAGTGACCGAAACATTTTTCAAAACAAGCTTTGATTTGCTGGCAGTCTGTTCATTGTAATATAACAAATCATCAAGCAAGTT